CTATTGTCAAGTGCCATAATAAACCATGATTTGTTTAACTATAATCTTTGAAATACACGTGGCTGAATTCTCACAATACATTAAACTACAAACTACCATTTCCAAATCTCAAAAGCGTGATTGACATAAATGGTAAGCAAACCAACTTTGTGTTGTCTTCATGTATCAACCTGGCCTCATGTTCAAAGGAGCTTCTTCCTGATATTGTAACTTTCATCATTTTTGCTCCTTACACAAGTACACGTTTCCTAATTCCAGTTATCTGATCCACATTAACAAGATTTCTGAATTTATAGTCATAACATACTTCAGTAATAGGATCATAACATTTTATGCACATATGAGCATAATGCAGTTGATCAAAATTTTATTAGCATTCTGAAATCACCCAGTTTTGTTTTGATACAGATTATCACCCATTGAGTTGTATAGTACAGGTTGCAGAAAGCTTGTCCAGTTATACAGCTACCTTAGAAAAGCTAAAATAATTTATTTGATGATAACTTGTTGAATTTTATAAAATGTGAGCCTGCTTAACTTTCTTTGGATTACAAACTTTGTGAAACCAAGGGATTCAATACCTTTCAGAACTACTTGTCATGCCATGATTATTATCAAGCATACATTCATATCCATCCTTCAGTTCTCTTTGAGAGTAAGCATCTTTACATAAATCATACAGACAAAAAATAAGAAATAATGAGCAAAAATTTAAGACATACCATATTTTAGAGAAAAAGATATCAAAATAAATTTAGTTTACATCAGTGCAATTTATTATACAGGTAGTCCTTGACTCATTACAACGGCACTGAAAAAAGTGACCTTTGACTGTTTTTCACATGACCATTGCAGTATCCCCATGGTCATGTGATCAGAATTCAGACGCTTGGCAACTGACTCATATTTATGATGGTTGCAGTGTCCTGGAGTCATGTGATCAACTTTTGCAACCTTCTGACAAGCAAAGTCCACGGGGAATCCAGATTCACTTAGCAACCATATTACTAACTTAACAACCACAGTGATTCTCTTAACAATTGTAGCAAGAAAGGTCATAAAATGGGGACAAAATTTGCTTAACAACTGCCTCGCTTAGCAACAGAAATTTTGGGCTCAGTTGTGGTTGTAAGTTGAGGACCAGTGCTTTTTTTGTAAAAAAAAAAAAAAAAAAAAAAGGTGCCGGAACTCACACACCTTGCCTACCCTACAAGGTTCCATCCAAAAAAGGTGCTGGAACTCCGTTCTGAGCATTCTATGACAAAAAAAGCCCTGTTGAGGACTGTCTGTACCCCTATATAATTCTGCATTTAACACTGTCTATATCCATATGTTGCATGTTCAGTCCTGAGCAGCTCAGGGTTGACTCAGCCTTTCATCCTTCTTAGGTCAGTAAAATGAAGACCCAGATTGTTGAGGGCAATAGGCTGACATCGTAAACTGCTCAGAAAGTGCTATAAAGCAGGGATCCTCAACCTTGGTAACTTTAAGACTTGTAGACTTCAACTCCCAGAATTCCTCAGCCAGCAAAGCTGGCTGAGGAATTCTGGGAGTTGAAGTCCATAAGTCTTAAAGTTGCCAAGGTTGGAGACCTGTGCTATAAAGCATATAAAGTGGTATATAAGTCTAACTGTTATCGCTATAGCCATTGCTATATTATCCTAGGAAATCCTGGGTCCGTGTCCTAAATGTGAACGCCCAGTGAAAGACAGACCAGGGTAGAGATTGCACAAAAGAAGGATACCGGGGATCTCTCCCACAGTTTATGTAACTCCCACCTATCTATCCCCAGTTCTTATAGTAGATGGGTTATTGAGTCATTTTCCTATGTTTTGCTCCCTTAGTAATTTTCTGTTATATTATTAGCAATTCAAGTTGCATTTTCTACAAGTATATCAAAATAGCTTCTGCAATCACGCAATTCTCATTTTCTTATGGATAGGTTCCCTCCCCCCTTTTTTTTCTTTGCATTTGCCTTTGCCCTTTTGCTCTTAGCTTTACGTATACTCAATGTTTGGATATAACAAATTAATGGTGTAATTAATATTAATATGGGGGTCACCTCATCACATATAAATCTCATAATTTTTCTTTTGTTCTTTAAACTTCTTTATTTTTATACATCGCAATTTCATCCAATTACAATTTTCTTGGCCTCTTTTGATTAGATCCATTCATTCTTCCTTCATATTTGTGATTAAACCATTATTCATTTTCTGTCTATGAACCAAAGCATCTCAGTGTACTTCTTCCAAAGTGGTCAGTCATTTTTTTTATCCAATCCTCCTTTCTTCAGTACTCATTCATTTTTTATCTTATGACATTATGTGGCCATTTTCATTACATGAATTTCAAAGATGCCTTGTCACATACTTCTTTTTTTGAGACCACCATCAGCATTTTAGAACACTTTTTGAAGCTGGGACTGCAAGCCAGACAAATTCCAGCTAACATAGTTAATAGCCAACTCTTTGTATATTGTGGCTCAGCTTCTAATTTTGATTCACTTTATGTAATAGGGGTATTGATCATCATGTTATAACATCATAAATTTGCATTCATTATCCAGTTTTCTATTAGGAATTGGGTATGTCTAGTTTAAGGAAGAGAAGGACTAAGGGTGACATGATAGCAGTGTTCCAATATCTCAGGGGTTGCCACAAAGAAGAGGGAGTCAACTATTCTCCAAAGCACCTGAAGGCAAGACAAGAAGCAATAGATGGAAACTAATCAAGGAGAGAAGCAACCTAGAAGCAACTGAGAA